AATTTCGATAATTTCTTTTTATCTTTTTGAAAACTTGCTTATTGTTCGTTCCATTTTACTTCACGAGATTATCAAACAATTTAGTGCAATTTTTATCTAGATTTAATTAGTTTTCATTATAAATTTTGAATAAATTGATTTGAGTTCGTACATACTTTCGTTGGTTTTGCACTCTCTTCCTATGCTGCAATATAATATAGAAAAAACATAAATAAATAACGAAAGGATTCATTCTTTCCTGAATAAGTTGTACGCAAGCTACAACAGAACATATTAAGAATACTTAAGACATATTTTCTGAGCTAGTGTGTAGAAATGGATTGAAATAAGTCATATCTCAAGACACTGTTCGTTACAATGTGCATGGAGAGCAAAATAATGCATAAATACTAATTTGCATTATTCTTCGTTGAGGCTGTGCATGTAATAAAAGAAATGATGTTGAACTGATTATTTTTTGTTACTATGGTAATATTCGTCCCGATTTATTACCTATATCTAGCATTCATTATCGATAATTTTTTAATCATTGATTGATGTCTTCGAATGACATTCAAAATCTAGCATGTGAATAAAAATTTTCAATAGAGATTCTCATTGAGATTTGCAGAGTATGTATAATATAGAGATACACAGACAGTAGAACATTGAACTATGTATGCAGATATTGTGTGTATACGTATGAGGGGCGATGGTTATCAGGATTAGGCGGGGTATTCCAGCTATTGAGGTATTTGACTAGGTGAAACAATACTACTGATCTAAACTTCTTCATTCGATATTTTAATTATTTTATTCGATTATTTTTAGCAGATTCAGAATCCAACAATAATAAAATGATTTATACAATCGAGGACAATTGAAATTATACCGTTTAATTTTTTTGTTTTTTTATTCCTATAGGTTTTTATCTATCAACCTATTATATATAGGGAGAAAACCAAGAACTTGCTACATCTTTTGGTATATTTATTTTGAACATCAAATGCAGTTTAAAATCTAAAAAGTGTATTGGAAGAAAAAGGACATTTTTTCAAAATTTACATGGTGTTCATAATGCTGTGACATTTTTTATTTCGTGGATATCAGCTAAGATAAATGATAAAACCTTGATTTTTTTTTCAAAGGATGCGCCGTGAAAATTTCTGCAAAAGCTGTATGATTGAATTTCTTTTTACCTATTTTGATGGTTTTTCTTATACTCAAAATGAACAACTTTTATAGCTGTGTCACTTCCGATCATACTGAAAATGTTGAAAGACTTTTTGTTCTGCATATATCTCGACTTCAGAAAATGATGAAATATTGAATTTGCTCTTAAAACATGTGTCGTCAAAAGCTCTGCAAAATTTGTATAGACCAAATCCTATAGCGAATCGAAAAAGTTCTTGGAATATTTTCTATATAATGGGAAGTAATACTGCTACCATAAGCTGTTCATTTTGAGTATAAAAAAATTATCAGAACAGGTAAAAAGAAATTCAATCATACAGCTTTTGTAGAGTTTTTCATGGCACATCTTTTGAAAAAACAATTCGAGATTGTATCATTTATCGAAATCGAAATATGTGGTAAATAAAAAAATAGTACAACATTATGGATACCCAGTTACGCAAAAAGAAAAAAAATGTCCTTTTTCTTCTAATACACTTTTTAGATTTTAACCTTCATTTAATGTTCAGAGTAACTATACCAAATGATGCAGCAAGTTCTGGACTTTCTCTCTATATATAGTAGGTTGATAGATAAGAACGTATAGTAATAAAAAAACAAAAAAGTCAAAGGGTATAATTTCAATTGTTTTCGACTGTACATGCATATCTTATCAATCGTGTACACAATGGATTCTGTAGAACGAAGAAATGAAAGAGGGATACATGTGGCTTACTCTTTTTAATATCAAACATTTGGGATAGATAAGAGTAAATCACATTGGCAAACCTTTTAGTTTATCCTATAGAAAGTATTGCGCATGAATTAAAAAAATCTAACTCGCTAATATACATGAAAAGTCCATTCTTTGTGACGTAGTAATTTCTAGAGCAGAACATCGCTCGATAGCCACTGAAACATATGTAAGAAAAGCGAGTCTCCAAAATGGTAAACATTTTCTTCGATTTTCAATAATGCATTTCGTTCGTCGAAAGTCAAAGCCAGATTATACGAATAATTTGTAGACTTTTTTCACTGTGTCCGAGATAATGGAAGCGAGACTAGGCGCGAATCATACAAGCTAAAATTAGCAGTGAGTTTTTGTTAATGCGATAGTTGCTGGGATATTTTCTCGTTTTTGTGACCCTTGAAGCGGCATGAATAAACGATGATGTTATTTTTAACAATAACAAGTATGTCCTTTCGTCTGCTCCCGACGACGAAATATGCTCAATAGTTTCTAATTAAAAGATGAAATTAATTTAATGTTACCTGATGCATATGCATGGCGCAGCTTGTTAAATATATTTTCGAAGGGAGAAGAGAATATAGAATGAAGAGGCCCAAAAATAACCTAGCGAAACAAGAAAAAAATATTTTAGATCTCTATTGTACCCATTGAATATTTATATGTGTTAACTTGTTCGTGTAAGAATTTTAGCAATATTATCAAGATATACAGCTAATTGAACTTGAATTTTAATACCTACATAAAAAATAAATACAATCAAAAATTATTTTATTTATTAATTTTATCTAAAATAGTTCAATTAACTTTATCAATAGATACATCAACATTCAGTATTAAGAGAAACTACATTAGCAACACTAGCTGAAATGTTTACATGTGCTTTAAGATTTTCTATAGCTAATGAAATTTCATCAACACTTAAATCAGACACATTAAGTCAAATATCAGGTAAATTACTAATATTATGAGGTAAAGTAGTACAAACCGAATTGTTATTATTCAGACATTTTGAATTACTTATATTTATTAATATTAAATTAGAAATAGAAATAATAATTTTCAAATTAACTAGAGACTAAACATTATAATGCTTGATTAAAGGCATATATTTTTGTAATATGAATATAAACAAGAAACTTTTATCGATATAAATGATTTTGTCCTCAATGATATTTTCATCTTAATTGATGAGATAAAGTAGAGTAGAAAAGAGTGTATGTTTATATGTATTTTTATTAATACCTATAATTATTATGCTTGGATGATCATGCGTGATCTATTGCTGTTTTATTGTATTAATGAAGGAAAAAAAACCAAGAAAAACAAAAAAACAAAATTTTTACATTTAAAGAAGTCTGTTCAATGTATTTTGAACACCTGTAATTGTTCTTGCTAGAAGAGGATTAAGATCGATTGATTCAAGTGTTCGATTGACAATATCAACGATTTTATCTAATTTTACAGCCAATTGAACATGAGCATTAACGCCTATATTATACAAGAAACAAGTTTATGAAAAAAAATTGACTTTTTTTGTCTTTCTTCTTACCACGAATCTTTAATTGAACAGTTGAAATACCTACTGAAACACCAGCAGTAAGATTAATGAGTGATGCAACTCGAGTATCAAGATTTAAACGAGCTTGAATATTATCTACACGTAATTCAATTGTTGGTACTGTAAGTCTTGCATCAAGCCATACATCAGGTGGATTACTAACATTAAATGGAAGTTCTTGTGTACAAATAGATGTACTTCCTGTACAATTATCTGTTGATGTTTCTTGATAATTTGTATAAGTAGCTGGAGAAGTATTTTCAACTAAAGAAATTTTAGATTGAGAATTTTTTCATTAAAAAATAAAAAAGAGAACTGACCTTTTTGACCAATTATAGATGCTGCTAATAATAAAATACTTAATAATAGCATGTTACTGGTAGTTTGATTTGATTTGATTTGATTCGTGTGTATTTCTATCGTACAAAATTTCGATTACTGATCTGCTCAAGCGTGACATACATTTGTCTTTTTTTCTCTCACGCGTCATTTTAACTTTTTACTCTTTGTAACGATTATGTTTACGTTATTATTCTACAAATAAAAGCCTGCACCGTATAAACCAAGAACGTTTTATTATTACAATCGAAAATATATCTGGTGATGCATAATGATTGTAACATTTAGTATTTAGCAAAATATATCAATACAGATAAATTATATAATCTTAACTTTTGTTTTATGAAAGATGCGCCGTGAAATTCTCTACAAGAATCGTAATGAGAAATCCTATCACGTTAGTTTGATGATTTTATCATAAGGCTAAAAGTGAAGCAGTGTATGACGATGAAATTTCCTATTATTCTGAGAGAAAGGTTAAAAAATAGTTTTCTTCTTATTTTAAACAAAACTCTTCATGATCTTATCATTTACTTTTCAAAAGTAATTGAAATAAAATAATATAAAAATCATAAATTTCCATCAAAAATATGATTCCCATTATATTGTTCAACTGTACGAACTCTTTGAAGAAAAGAACCGATCACATGACAAACATCACTGACATCAATTTTTTCGCATGATCTTTTTATTTCTTTCTTCAAAGCTTCTTGTGTTGTAATCTTGTGATAATCAATGATTTTCTAGTTGAATAAATTTTGTAAGTGTATCATAAATATGATAGTTTTTTTTAATTTTTATTAAAACAAAATTGATTATTTTCCTATCTAACGGATAATAAACATTTGGCGTATGTGTTTATTTTCAACTTTTTCTTAATTAAATACTCATTGACCTGTTGCTACCATAGTGCTATTTAGATAAACATGAATTAGTGGAATGAAGACCAATTATATTAATATTGGATGTGATGTATGTCGCTCAAAGAATCGTTTGTATAAGATCATTAATAACAATTCGATCTTGTATTTGAAGTACTCAAAGAAAATAATCTTTTAATATTAACAATAAATATTGCTTCAATTTTATTCTTTTTTTCATGAAAATAATCTCCATGTATTCTTCTCAAATACAATAAATTGTAAAAAAATATCTTAAAACTATGAATTATAAAAAAATTTAAAATTTTTCTAAAAATAATTAAAATACTTTTGGAATAATAATATATGGTACTTTTTGTCTATATTCTTCATATTTTATGCCAAAATGTTTTTTTAATTCTTGTTCTTCAATATGAATTCGATAAAAAAAAACTAAAGAAATTGGTATCATTATAATAAATAAACTTAACCAATTATTTAAAAATAAAGCCAATGCAAGAAAATACAATAATATACCTGCATATGATGGATGTCGCATTTTTTCATACCATCCAAAGTCAATTATTTGTTGATTTTCATCTATTCGAATAACAGTCGTAAACCATTTGCCTAATTGTTCTATTGATTGTTTTCGTAATAAAATACCCATTAGATATAAACTAATATTAAATAAAATCCATAAATAATATATAAAAGATTTATTATCAATTATTTTTGATCCATAACCTAAACGAGCACAACGTATGGAAAATAATAGTGAACATATTATAAATAACCAAATAAAAATAAATGTTCGACGATCTTTTGATGAAGTTTTTGATGATGTTGATGATGAATACTTTGTCTTTGAAATATATATTTCCATCAAGCAACATGGAATACCAAATAAAGCACATAAAAACTTATCTGAATCCATTTTTCTTTATTACAAAACTAGTATGGACGATATTAAACTTTCGAAGATCCATGGTTTACCGAATCTATACTGAAAAGATAACGAAAAGAAAAAAGCTATTGGATTTCTAATAAACCAGCTGAGTTTATCAAAATCTTCTTTCTGTCTCATAAATGTCTTCGATCTATATATATGATGATAAAAGTATTACGGCCTAAATTTCCATTATTCTAAAGTTTAAATTTTGTTTATTTGTATATGTATTACTTCAGTAAAAGTTTACATTAGCTAGGTTCTCATGATGATGTTTAATACAAGATTCTATAAAAGCTAATCTTTTTCTTTCGTCACTCAAACTTGATCACAATATAATATAGCACTTACGAGGGACTATATCCAAATCTTAGTGATCGTTCGAATTTATATTATAGTTACGAATGGATCTCGATGAGACTAAGAAAATCATCAAAAGATTTTAGTCCTTGACCCAAGGGGGAAACGGCGGACTTTTGGACTTGAAGTTACTTTGAGCTACTTTAAGCTACTTCAAGTTACTTTCAGCTACTTCAAGTAGCTTACTTTGAAGTATTTTTCAACTTCAAATTTACCTGAAGTTACTTGAAGTCACTTTAAGCTACTTGTTCCTACTTTGGGCTACTTGGGTGGTACTTTGAGCTACTTCAAGTAGTCTACTTTGACGTATTTTTCTACTTCAAGTCCGCCGTTTCCCCCTTGCCTTGACCTACTAATGAAGAGAATGCTTATCTTCGAACCCTACATTCACACATTCAAAGCGTTGCTTTATTAGAAATTGAATATCTCGAGAGAAAGACATGTTTGTTTTCGTTGAAATTTTCAGGGCTATCGCATCTACCTATAGACAAAATCTCACGTGTCACACGATAATCTCAAATAAAAAAAGTGATATTTGATGGATTGTTCAGAAAACAAAACGGAGCTATGTATATATGCAACATGTGGAGCTTGTTAAATTGAATGTTTTAAACTTAGACATTCAATAGAACCTATCAGAATGGAATCCAGAATGAATTCTTTGATAGTATTTACACTGACAATCAGATGCAGATACTATACTAAAGATTAGTTTTGTTCTATTTTACATAAATTTAAGCTTTCATTTCGGGTAAAACGAAAAAAAAAAATGAAGAACCTTCAAGTGAATTTCTTATGTATTTCGAATATTAGTTTAAGAGTATCCCGCCTTTTTGGACATTTCTGATTCTTGAAAAGCATACAACCGATCTGCATAAAACTTTTTCCACAGATAAAGCACCTAAAATAAGGAGACATGTATTCACGGGAAAATACTTTAAACAAAGGTTTCGCAGCTTTTTCAGGAAACTCTGATTTTTCATAGGACCTCATCGAACCTACTTACGACTCTTCTCTAACTTTCTCGAATCAGGCTGAAATTCCGATCACACATACTTGAAAGTATTCTCCAGCTATGAAATTGACTGCTGTCATTTTTGACCTTCCTCTCCGAGTTTATGGTGCCCTGAACACCAGCACATTGGTTTTGAATTCGAGCATTTATATATTTCTTTCATCAAAAAAGAAAAAGCAACATTTCTGAAAAAGCTTTCGACTCCATCAAACAAAGTTAAACGGGAGTCGTAAGAAAGCCCGATTTGATCCTATAGAAAATCGGAATTTCTTAAAAAAGACTGCGAAAACCTTGTTTAAAATTTTTTCCATCAAAAAACGTGTCTCCTTGTTTTTAGTGCTCTATCTGTGGCAAAATTTTCATGTGGATTGGTTGTACCCTCTTCGAGAACCAGAAACGTTCAACGAGAAAAAGATATCCTTAAACTTGAATCCTTTCGAATCCAAAACTAAGACATACCCAACGATCAAGACAATACTTTATAAACATATACTTTTATTATATTTGTACTGAAATAAATCCTTTAGAAGTGCATCATATATTCCCACAGCTACTCTTGAAAAAGTTGAATATGTTCAGTATTAGATTAGTTTATTTAGTCAACTTTCATTCATATTGATTTTTTAATCTTCTGATACAAGCCATTTTACCCCTTTCTAATAACATGAGTATCATTGTTGATTTACATTGTGCGAGCCTTGAACGATTACTTTCATGGTTATGATTACATTGTTTTCTTTCGATTATTGCCACGAAAAATGCTCGTATTGACAGAAAAAATATGCTTTTAATGTTGATAAGTCATTCGACTATGACTATTACTACTATTCATTTATAACTCATCGAGTACAATTAAATGTTTTCTCAGTCGATTTTTCTTCTTCAAATTATTTAAACAATTCAGTATTTCCACTCGACTAAATTTAAACAATAAAGCTTATTCAATATTGGAATACATATCCTCTTTTTCTTTGTCACATCAACACACATTGGTTTTTGTTTTGTTTTTGCAAACAGAGAAAGAAAAAAAGAAAAGAAAAGAAGACAAAGTTAAACTTCATTTACACGACAATAGAGAACAGCTACATACATACAGAAAAAAAAGAATAAGAGACTCTTTGGTTTTTTTTTTGTTTTTCGTTTCTTTACAAATAGTATAACATATTTTAACAAACGACAAGAGAAAAAGAAGAAGATGAGATATACACAGATACAAAAAAACAGTATATGTAGCTGTGAAATCCAAGTACGAACAGATTAGGACGTTCTAAAAACAAAAATCCAATAAAATCATCAATATATATATATATATATTCTAAAACTTACTCTGATGTGTCCATACCATCTGGATTACCTTCTGTTGGTGTAGGTTCATCTACTGGTGTTGCTAATGTTTCATTTTCACCTTCTACTGTCGTAGTTTTCTTTACTTCTTCAATTGTTGTTGTTGTTGTTGTTGCTGTTATAATTCCTTCTGAATCTGTTGGTGTTATTTCATTAGATGTTCCATTTTCTGTTGTTTCATTAGTTGTCGATGGTATCACAACAGTTGATTCAGTAACTTTTGTTATTTGTGTAACATTTGTACCATTGATTGTTTCCGAACTAGTTTTACGTTTATTTGTAACTTGTTTAAAATTTGTTTGATTACGTCGATTATCACCATCTTCGTCTTCTGAATCGGATAATTCACGTTCATCAACTATACGACGATCACTTTGTAATTGTGATATACGCTAAAAAAATTAATTTATTTTATTAAATTTTTTTTTTCATTTATTCCCCAAAAAAATGAATTTACTTTATCAGGATCATTATCTTTATCTTCATCAACAACACGATCAACATCCATAGCATCATCTGGTATAGCTAAAAGACAAAAGAAATTAATAGCAACAAAAAAAAAACGATGTTTGATCGATTAAATCTTACGTTGCATTTGAACACCTGGTACATGCGGTAACATTCGAAGATTATCAAAAAGTTTAACTCTATTTAAAATCAATTTCAAAATTTAAAACATAAAAACAAAAAAATTCTTCACTAAATATTTACTTGATTTTATCTAAATATTCTGAACTATTTTGATTGGGCATATTTGATGGACTTATATGTAATTTAAAATCTGGTCCATAATATTCAAAATAATCATTATAAGGCAATTCTATAAACAAAAACACACACAATTATTTAATATATATGTATATCATTTATTAATAGAATTTACCATTTGGAATTTCTTGATTAAGTGCAATTGATGTTTCATATGTCCAAGCACGAGCAACATTACGAATTGTATATCCACCACCACCAACCAGTAATAATGGTAAATTAAAACCTTTCATAAATTCTACACATTTACCATGGCCTAACAGAAAAATATTTTGTTTTTTTTTTTTAAATAAAAAAAAACAAACAAACCTTTAAGTGTTAAATTAAAACAACCAAGACGATCACCAGTTAATGAATCAGCACCACATTGAAGTACAATAGCATTTGGTTGATATGATTCCATCACCTTTGTCATAACTGGTTTAAATATTGTTTCATAAGAATCATCCTCAATTCCATCACGTAATGGAAAATTAACAGCATAATATTTGCCGCGACCAGCTCCAATATCCTAAAACAAAATTAATTTTATCTCAAAAATAGATACCATCGCTCCAAAAAGATTGATCATCGAGATTTTACTCCGATCTTTTTCTGTAATGATAACTCGTATAAAGAATTCAAATAGTTACTTGAAAACAAGAAAATTGTTTCCAAAATCCACGATCTCTAGGAAAGCCAACACCAAGCTTTTTAGCATCCAGAACCCGAAAATAAAAGCTCCTTTTCATTAAATAGAATAACTGACTCTCTAAGAAATGAGATGTCGCACTAGAGAGCTGCAGGTTCAAATCCGAGATTTTTTCAATTAATACTTAGCACCCTTCGTATACATGAACAACTGAAACATCAAGGTGTCAGCTATTGATTTGCTACTTTCAGAAAAAACTCAGCGTACAGTTATATCTTGTTGCTGTATTTCTTATCTGAGAAGCAGCAAGTCCATAAAAATGTGTAACCGAGCCCAGCAAAAAATAAAATTATGCATCCGGATCCGACAAAAAAAAAATAAAACTTTGGATCCAGAACCGATCGGGTGCGCATTTGGAAGGACTAGCAGCTTCCTGTCTCAGAGCTCTTCACGACATTTTTTTAATGGAACTCCATCGACATTAAGAAACGTTCGAAAATGGTTTTCTTGGCATTCTCCAAGGGAAAACTGAATAAAAAGAACTTTTGATCTTCTCTTAAAATTCATTTAATTCAATCAAAAAATATCGTATAGAAATCAGAAATTGTATGTTTTTGTCGGGAATTAGCTGTTCTGTCACCTTGTGTAATTCAAAAGAAGCTTTTATGTTCGATTTAAATCTTTCTTGGAAACAATTTTTTCTATTTAAGCCACTATTTCGATTTTTTATGTGAGTTATCCTTTTTAAAAAAAAACAAACCGAAATTAACTCTATATCATCAATTTTTAGAGCCATTGTATATGAAGATATAACATATATAAAGAATAAAGACTAAACAATCGAAACTGAACTTATTTATTCCATGTTTTCTCAATGATTAATTTAATTATCTTTTCGTTCGTCTAATATACTCTAGGTTTGAAAATAGGGCTAGCCAATTCTATGAAATCTATTTCAGAGAGCATATCATCTCGAATATTAATCATAAAAAAATTCTGTCATTTTGAAAGTTTTTACTAGCTTCACTGGTTTTTGTATTAGTATTAGATGTAAATATGAATAATCCTAAACGGAATAATGTGCTTAAATCCTTCTGATGAATCTATCAAATTTTATTCCATAATACCTAATGATGGAAAGTTCTAACAAACTGATTTGTTTTTTGCTCGTGAGAGCCTTTGCAGAAATTATGATTGCTTCGCCAAGTATTGAGTAATTAAACAAGATATGGACAGAGACATCAAATGGTCCTTGGAAGATGTTGAAAGTTGTCTCCACAGGATAATTAATTTATTCATTTTTGTTGAAACCTCCACGATCTTCTAAGGACAATTTGATGTCTCTGTCAATACCTTGCTCAGATATTGAAAAATCAGAATAGCTACTATAACTTCGGGAAAAAAGACCCAACGGTTCTGTCCCTTTCTGGTATTTACTAATCGCACTGAAGCCTTTACTCGTAAAATGGATGAAGAAAAAAAATTATAATAACTAAAGAATTATAATTAGGAAACGTTTTTCGAGAAAGATCCACTAAAAACTAAGGTCTTCCAATCTCGCTGTTATAAATTCGATCGAAACTGTTTTGCTAAAAAAATATCTCATCCAATAGCCCAAGCATTCTTGAGTTTCCCACAACTTCTTTTCATAGTTTCAAGAATTTCTTGTGCTTGACGCTTCAGTATCTTCCGTAAAATTGAGTGCGATTTACAAAAAAAAACACTCGTCCAAAGCTCGACTAACTGCGACCGTTGAAAAAAATTTCTCATAAAATACAAATATACTTAATTATTCGGCGTCACTTTTCTAGATAAGACTTTCATCATACGATTTTTTTTCAATACCTTGTAAGAGTGAGCTGAAATCACAAGGAAATAGCGCTATTTTCTTTAACGAGCCTCTATCATTCCTAAAGAAATAATGTTCAATCTCTCCTACAAATCCGATCAAATTTAGTAAAAATCTTCGGATCGACCTCATGAGCCATACGCCCATCAATTGCGGAACTCTTACATACAAAATTATAACTGACAAAAAAAAAAACAACTTACTCTTAAATCACCAGTACCCGGAAAATATTCTCCGAATTTATGAAATGATACCGTCATAACTCTATCTGTTGTATAAAAAGCTTCTTCAACTCCATCGCCATGATGAATATCAATATCAATATAAAGTACGCGTTGATGATATCTTAAAAAGAAAAATATCAAATTTTTGGTTTTTATTTATTCATTTTATAGCAAAATAATTTACTTGAGTAATTCAAGAATAGCTAAAACAATATCATTAACATAACAAAATCCAGATGCTTCAGATTTTTTAGCATGATGAAGACCACCAGCCCAATTTATAGCAATATCAGTTAGTTTTCGATTAAGTTTAACGGCACCAGCTAATGAACCACCAGCTGATATTTGACAAAATTCATAAAGACCTTCAAATACAGGACAATCTTCACCAACATTAAATCGTTGCATTTGTTTATTAAAATCAAGAATATTATCCGGCCGAATATTTTGAATAAATTTTACATATTCATCACTATGAAAACGTGTCATTTCATCAGCTATAGCTTTATGTGGACGCTTAAAAAATATATAAATTTTGAGTAAAAAAAAAAAAAGATTAGTGTTTTCGAATTGATATACATACATAAACTTCCATTTTACGATAAAGTCCATAATTAAGAATTAAATTATGTGTCATACGTATACGATGTGGTTTCATCGGATGGCCTTGTCTATTCAAAAAAAAACAAGATTGAATTAAATAGAAAATCGTTTGTTTTCAAATAAATTACCCATAATAATAATTGCCTACATCAAAATCATAATAATAAGAGACCTTTTTACGACTATGAGGACCAACAGTTGCTGGCGTTGTGGACATTTTCTTTTCTTTTTTTGCTTTTTTTCTTATTAGATCTGAATATAGGAAAGTATATTTCGTTTTAAATGAAAAGAAAAGAGATATTCATCGATGATAATAACACAAAGAAGAAAGAAAAATAACTAAGAGTGACCACCGCGAGAGAGAGAGAGAGAGAGCGAGAGTGGACGATTAGAATAATGAATAAACAAATATCAATTGCTTTATATTGATTGGTGAAAATAGAAGAAAGACATATGAAAATATATGATATTTGAAAAAGAAAAATTTTTAATTTATTTTATTTAAAAAAATAAATATTCAATGAATTTGAATTTATTTCAAATACTGATCATAGTGACATCTTCCAATTAAATTAGGATTCATTAAATACAATACTCCAATCATATAATTACCAGACAATGACATACCATGTATATAATTACATATGCATGATTCATCAAATTAATTCCGGATGGATAATTTATTAATGCATTTTGGATGAAACTTTTTTTGAAAACCTAGTATTTATATTTTATGCAACATATGATTGATAATACTACATTTTTCTGTTCAACTGACAAAAAATGATGTGTTGATTTTTGAAATATCTCATGTTTGCATTGTTGTCTAGTAAAGTATGTTGTATTCTTGTTAAAATGTCATTGTAATGTAGCGCTATCCTTTGCATAAAAACTGATTTTTCCTAAAAATAAAATATGTAGTTGAATATATTATTTGATTGAATACATTTCTATCGAAATTTCGATACTTGACGCTTCTTTCCAATTCAGATGTCGCTTCATTCAGTATATTCGACATTGATTTGCATTTCTTCTCACCTTTTATATCATCAGGTCATTTTCTAGTATCATCTATCAATATATCAATAAGCAGAAGATTTCATCAGCATCAAATAAACATTCTAAGCCATAAAAAGACAGAGATTCTTGTATAAATCTACATCAAACAATGAAATGAATGTATATTATAAACCTCTTAAACTATCAACAAGTATTGAATCTTAAAAGATCTTATTGGTGAATTGTTTGACTTAATATTTATGAGTATATATAATTTTATATACATTCGAAAAAAAAAAATACCAACAATGTTGGTTTATCTTTTCATTCTAATATTGAATTATTTTTCTAAATTATTTTCAGATGTTAACTGCTGAAGAACGTCGTCAACGCATTCTGGCTAATTCAGAATCGCGTCTTGCTAAACTTCGGCATATAAATCAACATGATAATTCATCTGATATACCACCAATGGCATCAATATCTTCACCAGCGCCACATGAACTTTTAAGAAAACCAAATGAAGAATTTAATTCTTCAATTAACTCTAGTGTTAATAATAATCAATCACAACAAACATCACCACCATCATCATTATTTTCAACAATTACTACAGCAACGAATATGTTAAATTCTTTTACATCATCATCAACAACAACAACAAAAACAGTTGAAAATACGAAAGAAATGATTGTAATTGATAAACAACATATTCTTATGTTTATTCTTGGAATTATTGTTGGAATTCTCTATTCATTTTATATATCAATTGAATCAAATTTTTTCTTTCTTGTATTTTTTACATGTTGTATATGTATATTAACATCACGTTATTATTCGATGCAAATGAAACATCGTACAAATGTATTAATTACAACAGCTATGTTATCAGGATTTAAACCAGATTTTATGAAAAAATTAAGTCTTGTTTATACTCTTGTATCTGATGCTTGGATTATATTTGCATTTTATTTTGTTTCTTTTTGTTTAACATATGTCGTATGTTCTTCATTTTGAAAAATAAAAATTAAATAAACTTGCACATTTTCTTGAAGATTAAAATATATTAAGAATGAATGAGTTGATTTATTTGAAATCAATAGTAAAACTTTTTTTTTTGGTTTTTGACAAACATATTTTGTAAATTAAAGTGGTGGAAAAAAGTTTAGAAATAACGATTTTTTTGGTTTTTTTCATGATTTTAAGCACGTAGCTCCAATCCAAATAAGTGATTTTAATAGCCAATGAAGGTTTATATCCAATACACTTTATAGCAAGATTTCACAGATGAACAATGATGGCAAGGCTCGTTAAAAACCGAACACGGTATTTTTCAGGTTCTAGAAGACTTTGGCAGAGCTATTTTTGAAACGGTGCCATCTTAAATAACACAAAATTCTGAGTAAAATAAGGGGTCGCTGAGTTTTCTACAAACTTCTCATAAAAAGTTACAAGCATCATAAAAATCATGAAAAAACGAAATTTTTTTAAAAATCGACAAAAAACGCCTTTTTCATGATTTTTGTGATGCTTGTAACTTTTTATCAGAAGTTTGTAGAAAACTCAGCGACCCCTTATTTTACTCAGAATTTTGTGCTCTTTAATATGGCACCGTTCAAAAATAGTTCTGGCAAAGTCTTCTCGAATCTGAAAAATACCGTGTTCGGTTTTTAAGGAATCTTGCCATCATTGTTCATCTGTGAGATCTTGCTATAAAGTGTATTGGATATAAAACTTCATTGGCTATTAAAATCACTATTTAGATTGGAGCTACATACTTAACATTATAAAAAAAACCAAAAAAATCGTTGTTTCTAAACTTTTTCCCATCACTTTAGTTTGTGTTTCGATCAAGGTCACCAAATTGCAAACAGTTTATGTGAATTTGATTCAAAGGCAAATTCATGTTCCAAATTCAAACATTAACTCGAAATACAAATATGTTCTGGATTTCAAGATCTCTGCCCTCAAATTTCAAATCTCTTCTTGATTTGTTTCATCCGTAACTCTAGACCCACACCTAGTCATATCAAGTACTTTCAGAATCCAACATTCTCAACTATATACATTTCTTTTATTATCGGGGTTTTTGCTCTTTTCTGCTCACCAAAGCTAATTTCAATTTTGATTAAGAGAATTTAAAATTTGACTAAATTTTAATTTTGACCATAACACAGATATTTTGATTATATACATTCAAGTGTATTCAGTACTACAATAATATTGAGATAATATATAAATTAAATTATATAAAATAAAAACAAAACCTTTTTTTCATCTTTATTCCATTTGAATTTGTTGACATCTAGGTGGACACATACGTGTAGAACAGCTTAAAAGAAATCGAACATGTGTTAACCTTGTTTTTTTCGTTTTTTAAAGAAAAAATTGTTATTTCATTGTTTTCCACAACTCGGATATATTTTTAATTTGGCTCATCCGATGATCGAGAGTGAGTCCTAGTAGGATCCTTTATTCTTAGTCAATAAACAACTCAACAGGTACTTAAAAAATCCAGATAAAGATCCTGTTTCAAAATGAGATATCCTGCTAGTCAGTATTACTAAAATTCGAAACAGGATCCTGAGAATAAAACTTAACATGGATCTTCAAATTCAGGATCTTGAAAGATTCGTTCATGCTTTCTAAAGGAATAACAGGACTGAGACTAAAGTAGCAAGCTACCTAAAGTTCTGACAGCATTCAACCAACAGACAAAAAATCGATCCTTGCATCCTAATAGATTGTATAATAGATTTATCGAAATGTGTCATAAGTTGTCACAACTTACCGTAGTTGACTATAATTCAACAGAATTCACTACAGTTTATTAAAGACAATCAGAATGCAGCGGAAGCCACTAGACATTACAATAATATGAAATTGATAGGAGAAGTGTGGGTCCTCATAGGTCCTAAAAACGCGCAAAATTCATGACGGACATGCCAAAGTTTACCCAAATACATAAGAATCTCAGTGTCCTCAATCTTTTTTTCTACTTAGTCGCAAATTTTGAAGGCATTTTTTCCTTAGTTGCTTTGAGTCCTGATGGACTCTTGCATCCATTCGGATCAGCTCTTTCATCTTCATTTTGGTACACTTCGATAAAACTTATCCTATACATCATCAGGATCCCGGATTCGCTCTTTATCTCTTGAATTCTGTCTGATTTTGCGAAACTCTGCTTTACTTCATGTTGTTCTAAAAGACTTTGAGTAAAGGAATTCCATAGATTCTCGTGTATTCCCAGATCCAAAAGGTTCTTGATTCCCTTTGACATACATGCGTAATGTTACCATACGATGATATTGTGCAATATTAGCAACATAAAGGAACGAGTGAATACTGTTATGGCTTCGTGAAGACAGATGATTGTACAATTTATTAGAATCTGCTCAAACACTCAAAATGTATATATATATATAGATTTCTCGTCGACAAAGAACTAACGATCATTTATTCTAGACTTATTATCTTGATCATAATCAATCTAATTATGAAACAATTTTTTCATCAAATATTTTTATGTTTTAAATATTCTATGATGAAAATTATTTACAGTAAGTACAATATAAATGTGGAGTTTTTTAAAAGAAAGATATTTTACATATATGTGCTTACTTTATAAATAAATTTTGAGATCGCGCTGTTGCAAAAATTAATTGTCAAATGTAAATGTTCTTGCCTGTTTTTATAGGGATCACTTATTCCATACATTTTCGTTGTATAACTCATCTTACGTTGTTTTAGTTATTATGATGACGTTTTTTCGATAATGTGACACAGAACTGATGTGATTAAAGATATTGAACTAATCGAAGACTTTCTCGTCTGAAAAAATTTTATGATGACTATCTCCCTGTTTTAATTTAGTATTTCGTGCAAGAACTTGTTATTATCTTATTTTTATGCAAATAAATTAAGTGAACAACTGAAACAAATAGAATGATATATTAATGCCGAATTGTAGAATTAAACATATTCACAAAATCAGAAGCTATCAATAGACCTCATTTGGTTGGGAGGCACCTACAGGTGTGGCCAAGTCAGACTGCAGGCCACTTTGTGAATTTTAATCTCGTCTGCAGGCATTTCGAGCTAGATCAGGTCAGACCAGAAAAAAGTAGTCTGACAGCAGCTCTCTTATAGAAATATAAAGAAAAATTGTGTCAATTTTGTTTATTTTTGTCTTGTAAAAATGTAGTTATTAAAAACTCATAATCAAAAAAATTCTGCTGGTGTATGTTCTTCATTTGAAATTCCGATTTCTGATGGTATTAATTGAAAATTACTTAGATTTTCAATTGGACGTGTGATTGATAATGAACTGCGTCGTGGAGAAAATTCAGTTGATTCGCCTAAATAAAGTGGATAGAATGGTTCAATAGAATCAACTCGAAAATTTTCATTGGTAATATTAATTTTAAATTTTTTGACATTTAAACAATAAATTTCATCTTCCTGTGTCCATATATAAACAATACTAGATGAATTTAATTTGTATGTTGTTGGAGAATTAATTAGAATAAACTGCGTTGAATCAAAAATAGTTTCTTCTTCATTTGAATAACATATTATTGTTCCTGATAAAAGAAATAATTTTTGATTGGATTCGAGATCAATTGTTAAATCTGATTGATTTTTATAAAATGAAACTTTTTCATTTAAAAGTATTATTAATTGTGAATGAGTTAAATTGATAGATTTTCTATAATTATTCATTATCATATGAAGTGCTATTTCATTATAAATAGAACGAGAGATTGTCTCATCAGATAACAGCAAATTTAGTAAAGCCGAATCAATTAAATATGTTTCGACCAGTCCATCGTTAGCGGCATAAGCACCATAAGATAAAGACTTTTCAGAGAATAATGCTTCAATCCCTATTATACTACCACATTTGTAATTAGTAGGTATTGTATCATCTTTACATTGAACCATACCACGAACAATCAAATAGGCAGTCCATACTCTTTGATGTCTTCCTAATAGAAGAGCACCAGGTTGGAACCATTTGTGCTTAGACATCATAAGAGATTTCCATTGATTTTTTTCATTTAAAGAAAGTGATTCGAAATAGGGTATTAAATCAAAAGGATCTTCAAGTATTTTTTTCTGATTTTCTGGCATTTTTATACGTCCATATTCAAGAGAAAATAGTTTATTTTCAATTAATTCTAGAATATGTGAATATTCATTTTCTTCTAACATACCAGTTTCATATAATTGAATAATTGCAACAGATTCATATTTTAAAAGCATTTGAGCACATCGTCTTGTCATTTGTACAGTCCAACAAAGTGGATATGATTGTTGTAAATCAAGAAGTATATGCATTGCATTTAATTGATACATTTTAACTTCGTTACATACTTCTTTCATTATTCTTCCATTTATATTTGATAATTCAGGAAATTGTAATCGGATATTATCCAATCGTGTTTTAGCAGAATGAAAACCTAAATGATAAAAACTATTTTTATTTTAAATACTTGCTATCAAATGTTTTTTTATTCTTTGGTTTCGCTTGCAATCTTAAAAAACAAAAGAAATTAATTTTTTGAATTTTTAAAAATCATAGAATTTATATTCTTGTTCAAATATTTAAATCTTTCATTCTCTTCTGTATACGTTTCTGTTCACTTTGAAAAAAAAACTTATTTAAAGATATTTTCGTTCTTAAAACTAAAATTTTCTTATTAAAAGGATTAGTTGACGTGTATAGGGTAAATATTTATACATTCCTTCCACAGATCAGAACAGACATTACCATGGATGCTTCACAGATCGTGACAGACACGTTAGAAATGACCTATCAAAGACATGATAGACATCTTAGCAACGACTAGAGTCCATCTGGGTTGGTTCCAGACCCTATAGAGCCAGAAAATTTTGGACCCGACGAACTTTAGCAGCGACACATCACATACGATTTTGACATACGGTCACCGATTGTACATTAATAACGTCTTGTTATTCTCTTTCTCGCAGAGAAGAGTCTAGCAAGAATAAATTGTTTGCTTGTATGTCCGCACTTTTTGAAATTGTATAAATAAATAGTTTGTTGATAGTTCAGAAACACCATTTCTACGAGAAAGAGCTGAACGAGTCCCCGGACGAGCGTTACTTGTGATATATATGCACTATTTCGTTATTGAATTTCCAGAGAATTAAGTAAAACGTACATAGAGAAATATGTTCCAAAATAGATAAAATAAAACAATCTCTCTATAATTAGTAATAGCAGCTATATCGTGTTGTACATTTTAATCATGCAGGGATTCAGCGCTCACAGCTTTTTGTTTAGTTTGCTCGTGTATATTTTTTTTTGCTAATATGGAGTGTTGTTACATATCGAGAGAATCGGAAGATACATTGAAAGATGAGAGTTGTAATGTCATTTTTTCTGAAGATAAGCTTTCAAATAGATTATCTTGTTAAGTGTAATTCTTATTCTCAATGTTTTTCATTCTCTCTAACTTGAATTTCATTTGTTTCATATATTATAGAAAGAATTATTCTTTCTAAAAATGAATAACCTTTTTCTTTAAAAAAGAAAAATAAAATCAAGATTTTTTTTCGATTATATTAATAAGATTTGTAATATTTTATGATATTAACTTACTTAGAGCTAATTCAATAGTTCGAAACATATGATCAAAAAAGAATTGATTTATCCATCGATTCATAAAATTAAAATAATTAAATTTCATAAGAAATCGAAGAAGAATTGTTAATCGAAAATGTTTAACAATTAATTGCCAATGAAGTTGAAATGAATTTTTTTGTTTTGCTTCTTCGACTGATTTAATTAGAATATTAAGTGTACTTCGACGAATCATTCCAAGATACCATTGTTTTTCATAATCAATTGATGTTGCTGTTAGAAAACGAGTAACTAATACATTTCGAATATTTTGATTATGTATATTATCATTATATCTAGTATTAATAATAGGTAATACTGTATCTGAATTTCTTGAAAATCTGTTTGATGGTATTGGACTACTTGGCATAGAATTTGTTTGATAAATGGTTGGAATTATTTGTAATTCATAATTTATACTATTACTTTGACGAGAAGATCGTCGAGACGATATTGAAGAATTTTCATGTATTATTGTTGATAATTGTTGATGCAAATTTGTATGATTTTCTTGATCTAATTCTTCTAATAATTGATCAGGTAAATATTGATTCAACATTCTCCAATCAACACCTGCAAATTTTTCATCTTGTTTCATTGTTGATAATTTCCATGATGTTTGTCGTCGCATATGTTCAAGTGCTTGTAAAAGAACTGTTTCACTTTCCTTTGTACCTAAAATAATTATTAAATCTTATACAATTTAATTTAATAAAAAATAATTAACTGTACGCACCGTGATGTAAACCTAAAATTTTTACTAAAAATTTACTGCCTGTTCCATTAATAACTAAAGTAAGTAATACAATCATAGATACATGAAATAGAAAACGATCACGTATGACTATATCAATATTTTTATCCAAACTAACAATAAGAACTAAAATAAGAGCCATACTACCTCGTAGACCACTGCATACTAAAATAATACAATCTTTCCATGATAAATGTACACCAGTACACTTTATTAATGGATACAAAATGCCAACAGTTAACATTCGTCCAATATGAATTATTATATATAATACAATTGAAAATCCAAAATCTTTTGCTGTTATCGTAGTAGCTGTACCAATAAATGATCTCGCTAAAATAAGACCAGTAATAGTAAAAATAAGAATATTAATAAAATAAGTAGCAAGTCGCCAAGCGCTTGCCATCGAAGATTGAACATTATTACTGATACAATATTTGTATTTACTCATATATAAACCCATTGCAACAAGTGCAAGAACAGCTGATACACCAAGTTCAACATCAGCTATATAAAAAATAAGATAAGCAAGAGCAAATGTAAATGTTATTTCAACTTCAAGTTCATTATTGATTCCATTCAATATAATTACACTGATTATACCGCAAGCTAAGCCAAAAGCAGGACCACCTAAAAATATCCATTCGACAATTGTATTGAAAATATTTCATAATTTCTTTAGTCTTTCCGATATTCACGTTAGAGAAATGAATGAGCCATAAATAACTAATCAACAATAAGCGAAAAGAAGTATTTATATGTGAACACACAAAGGATACAGAGATTAGACAATTTCAATAATGAACATAGGCATTAATGAATCCCTCATAGAAAGCGAAAAAAAACATGCTACAAATTTTCAACAAGATTTTTGTTAATCATGGATAGTTCTTTTGTCGAAACTAACGAGCAGTTTTAAACAAAAAGAATTTTCAGCTTATGAAATTTAAATATAAACTATAGAATGAATTAGGAATGAGAAAATTTGTTTTTGAATTTGATTTAATTAAGTTAAGTATTAAGTGGTTTTACTTAACATTTAATATTATGTTTAAGTGATTACGTTAGGTCAATATCAATCAGTTGCGTGTTTTTCTCAACTCCAATACGGATTCAACATGATATTGTCCGAGTCACTCAAGAGAGAATCCGTACTAAGTTCGGACAACATGATGTTCATTCTTTATCATAATAGAGACAACTTTGCTAAAATCTGTTTGATTGAAATGAAAAAGCTCCTAGCCAATTACATTCCCTCTAGAACTTTCTCCATTATTGTAAAAAAGCATATTGTTCTCCGAGCTTATCAAGAGTTCTCTCTTGGATGGCTCGAACAATATTATGTTGAGTCCGTATTTGAGTAGAGAAAAAGCCGAAAATTAAATGATATTTGTCTTATGCAATTTCTTAAACTTAATTTTGCGCTAAGTTAAATGGTTCACATCTAGAATAAGTGATTAACTTACCAATACTATATTTAACAATATTTATAATTATATTTTTTGCATTATGATCTTCACCAATGATAATATTACGAAAAATAAGAAAGAGAACAAATGCAGAACCATCATTTAATAAAGATTCAGAATCAATCAATGAAGCTAACGCTTTACTTGCACCAGAATCATGTAATAAAGCGACAACAGCAACTGGATCAGTTGCACTTAAAATACTTCCAAATAGAGTACCAAGTAACCATGACCAGTTATATGGAAACATATAAACTGCACATATTGCAATAACTACAGTTGATATAAGTACACCAGGACCAGCCATAAGAATCGCTGATAATAATTGTTGTTTTATAACATGAAAATGACCATTAAATGATGAATCAAATATTAATAATGGTAAAAAAATATAATATATTAAATACGGATCTATTTGACTCAATTGAATTTCTCCAATAGAAAAATTATTATTTGTATTTTTTATTTCTGTTATAATAATACCAATTATAAATCCCAGAATAAGAACAGCAATTGTAAATGGAAGTGGAATTTTATTTTTTAAAATTCTTGAAAATATTATTTTACATATACATGCTAATAATATAGAAAATGATAAAAATAAAATCACAGCACTACCCTTTGATTCTTCTTCATTACGATTATTATTTGTTGAATTTGTTTCTATTCCCATCTACAAAAAAAAAAACCAATTATGTCAATTTGTTTTAGTAATGGACAAAAATTTGTTAAGAAAAATAATACTAATTACAGCAGCTTTAAATTTCATACTATATTTATTTATTTATTAGTTCAAAAGTCGA